GTAGCGAACGAGCTAACCTGAAGGCAAGTGAGCGCAGCGAACGAGCTCCAACCTAAAGGTGAGTGAGCGTAGCGAACGAGCTCCAACCTAAAGGTGAGTGAGCGTAGCGAACAAACTTCAACCAGGACGTGATTGAGCCATGCGAACGAGATAATCTTGAAAATTAAGAAGTTAAACGGGGCAAAGCCCGCGGGTTACAGCTAGTTATTTATAACTTAAAGACTGCGATAAAAAAAACTAAACGATATCTATTAGACACATAAAGACTTCGTTATTTAAAACTATAGGCCTAAAGAGTTATTTTTCGTATTGCATTTTTCCAGGATAATGGTAAAATGTAACGACTATCATGATAACTATCAAATATGTACCCTAAAAATATCCCCAACATTCGCACTTAATGTGTAGTACCACAGGAAGAGAAATAAAACAAAAATCTAAAATTAGAATACAAGTTCGCCAGTATGACATGCAGGGAGTGTGTGGTCCAAGTGGGCTTCAGTTACCACAGAATTACCCGCATCTGCTGGACGTCTCGCCACAGACTGCTGAACACCGAGCTGGTTACGATTTAACGATTAAACCTACGATACGGTTCAAATATAATTTTCCACGCACAAGTTACGAAATTTTGGGCGTCAACCATTTCGTCAAATAGAATTCACTGGCCGAGGTTTCACCTTCTATGTGAAGTGAAAATTTTCATTTTTAGGCAGTATATTCGATTAAAATACTAAAAACTTTCAACTCGATTTACATTCAATCAACGTCGAAAACCAAGCTTTTAAAATTTTATTTGCGGGTTAAAGCTTTCCCATAGCGATTTCGATAGTATGTTATTCAGTACGGCCCTTCTATAAATATTTTGGGATAGGGTTTCCAGCAAAAAGGACCTGAAGAACAACGAATCACAGACGAAAAGCAAGCTGTATTGTAAACGCTATCTAGCCACATAAATCCTTTCTAATTTAAAACAAAATTAAATATTTATCGTATTGAAGCACTCAAATGGCATCACACAACTGTTAGGGATTCACAAGTTTTGTTCCAGGATGATGGTAAAATGTAAAATGGAATGAATGACTATCCTAATGATATTTGTAGATTCAATTAACAGGAACAGATATCGAAAATACACTGCATCGAGAAATGGGCACCTCTAACATGTCCAATGCGTTATGCAACTGAACATAAGCGTCCTGTTGTTGGAAATACATTACGACCACTCTTCGTTTCCTTAAGTTTATAACCAAACTCTTGAAAGTAGAACCAATTAATTTACCATTATTCCCCAAAGAACTCATAAAGAAATTATATCTCAACGGGGTTTTACGGGGGCTTTTATGGGGTAAAAGATTATTTTTTCATTTTGACCCTTAAAAAACAACATTTTCTAATTTATCTCTAGACCTATTAAAAGAGCTTAAAATAACAAATAATTTAGTATATCAAAATGTTTTCGTTCAATTATTGGTAACGGAGAAAATTCAAAAGATTTTAAATTTAAAATTTCCATCTTATTCTTATGGAGAATATTGTAAAATGTTGTAGATTGCTTTTTTATGGATATATTTTTATCAAACTTGGCAAATTTATACTAAGCTATTAATATTTTACATTAAAAAAAAAGATTTTATTAGTTTCCTTGTAGCAAACCTAGGTACTCGTTAAAACTAATGTTTATTAAATAGATTTGATTGAAAATCAATTCAGAAAAATGGAAGTTCACTTACTCGGCAGGTTTTCTGCGGCGGGGGTATTTTATATTAAATATTGCGTATTGATCTATTACAGTAGCTCAATGATAGCATCTTGGCCAAGTAATGTTACTGAGTCATAACCGTTCTTGAACTCAAAATTACAAATCCAAAACATAAAACATGTTTGCACAAATCAAATAACCGAACCCCATTGCAAGAGAAGCAAAACCTCAGGGCGAAGGCGGGGTCAAAAGTCTTCACAAAGGCGACCGCTGACCACATCAGAAGATATAAATACAAGTGTCAATACAACGAGCTGGAGCCGCAGCCCGCAGGCGAGACAAGACATGGATGGAACGAGTGAACCGCCTTGTGCACCGCCTCTTTGTAACATTCCCACTTTGTCCCAAGTATTCCCGCATTCTCCACTCGTCAAAGCATTAATTTACCCCGGTTATTTCCCGGTAATTAGTTAAATATGTTAAGATCGAGCCGAGATTCCCCGCATTGTTCAGGTGTTTGATTAATGTTTCTATGTTGTGGTTGTGCGCAGTCCGGCCCTTTAATTAATTAAGACTTGCGACTTGGAAAGGCATCAAGTTGGCGATGACGACGGTTGTTTAGCCTTTGTGTGTAATTTACGTGTTCGGTTACATTACCTTGCCTGTCTTGTTGACCGTGATTCGCGTGGGCGATGTGTAGTGAACGTTCTTAAAATGTTGATGTATGTTCAGTACAATCTCATGATATCATGGTATTAAAATATTTAATCACTATTAATACACTTTTTGCAAAGGTCTGTTATCTATTAACGACGAATTTTCGTTCGACGTTTAATACTATGTAGATTAAATTAAAATTACAGGGGTGTATTTCTACTTGCTCCCCATACAAATCTGAATCGTGTTGGTGGCATGAATTTAATCTTGGCGTTACGTTCCCGCAACATTTTCTGTATGCTTGTAGAAATACGGTGAAGCAAATTCACAAAATGTCACATACATTCATGGACCAAAATAAAATACGAGTAACTATGTAATGATTACATGGTGAAAGAGTTTTTATGAAAGTGTGTTATATTACCTATACAATTAATATAGTTTAGGTCTCCAATCCTTACTTAAATTACTTGCTGCCAAAACTTATCAATCGTACGTCGAAAAATTCATAAGATGCAACCAATCTGTTATACGAGTACATCCTAAAGTCTATAGTCAAGTTGTTTGTATTTCACCATATAAAAAAATCTTTCACCTTCAAAAGATGAAGTCTATACTAAACTTGGACAACATAACTATTATGTTAATCTTTAAACTCAACCCTAACGTAATCCGAGGGCGTTAGACATCCAAGTTGTGCACATTCGTGTGATTACTGCTAAACGTGGCCGAGAGATAATAAGCGGTAATCTTGGCGGGAACGTGCTAAATACCGCGGGTAATTGCGTGTAAATAGCCGAGAGAGACGGGCCTAACCTGCTCTAATTGGGGCTTGATAACGGACTATTGGATTACCAACGGGCTGACTTGTGACCCGCCCTGTAAACATCGCAGGTAAACCTTGTTTAAGTAATGGTTTTGAAATTGTTCGATTCATTTAGATTATAGACTTTACAAATAATCGTGTCATCAACTACTTGGTGATATTTTTTTTTCGGTCGTCACGAAGATTACAATAGTAAATGAGTTCTATTGAATTAAACCATGTATAATATAGGTGAATAAATTGGACATTGAATTAATTTTGCAGTAATACATTCGCAAGGATGCTTGATATGTTCTTTTCTTACTTTTGATTTCGTTGTTTCTTCAAAGAACACAAGGTTATTATTTATATATCTTGTGGTACTACAGAATTAGAAATGGGATATTTCATTACTAGAACAGAATGTGGCATTTTCCGGTGCCCGTACAGTTTTCCGAACACAGGAAAACCAAGTATGAGTGTTTGAAAATAACTTTCTGTACGAGTTATGAACGGTTCATCACTACTCAAAAATACACACATACAGAAAACGTATCGAGGTAGTATTAAAATAGTTTTAGACCAGTCTTTACCGTTTCAAATATACTTCACAACGTTTATATACAATAATATACATAATAATAATAACAATAATAATATACAATAATATACAATAATATACAATAATAATAATAATAATAATAATAACAATAATATACAATAATAAACGTTAACATACAACACATATGGTTTCATGATTATAGATTTTTTAGATAAATATATTAATAAATACTTCGTCACTTACACTTTAATTATTGACATAACATTTGGTAATTTGTAGTCTACCAATTTCTAAGGTTTCTATATTTCTCTTCTTATCTTTCTAATGATTTCTCTGGCGAAATGTGATCAGTTACATCTGAAGCTGTTTTCATCAAATTGTCATGAATTTTAGACATACTTTGAGCAATTTCAAACACGCACTATGCTAAAACACAACAAAACAAACTTATGCTTGTTTCTGTATACATTTAGATTGTTTAACAATGAAAACAGCTGATCTAAATCATTAAAATAAACCGAAACAAATCAATAGCACGCGTAGTGGATAAATGGAGAACTAATCGAGAGTGAGGGAAATTAGCTGATCGTTTTTCCCGCGCTCTAAATTAGAGCGGATACTTTCTTTGATATCAGCTGTTATTGAAAAAAAATTACTTTCGTTACGGAGTGATGATAATAGTATTGTGTCAATGCAGTTTTAATCTTTGAGTCGGACTTATTCCTAAAAGTGAACCTTAGATAGGGAAGAGGGATCTTGTACGATTCAAGTCTTGTTAAAACATAAATACGTGATGTTTCTAAATAAATAAAAACGTATACTTGCTCGTAATCAATGTTAAGTCTCTAGTAAAATTGTCTTGCATCACTCGTGTTTAATATATTATTTAAATAAAACAAACCCCCCACAACTTTAACATAGTCTACTTTAAAGACCTTATAGTCAACAATTTTATGTAATTACGTTTAAAAAGGGTTTACAAACATAGCTCATTCTTCCTTCTCTCGTGTTCCATTTTGGTTATAATAGTCGTGGCTGTAAAACTATTCCGAGTGCATAATATTTATTTCAGCATAAACTGTCGACAGAAATAGTGCAAATTATAACCTGTTTATACTTTCAAGCGTATCCATAGGTTTCATTTATTTCATTAATTCAAGTGAGCAAATCGGTCACCACCACATAAGTGTGTATGTAGTTATGTTCGTTCCGATGGTTGTCTTTTGATACTTTGTCTGTAATGTGTTGCTGAGTCGTCTGTTTGTCTGTTGCAGGGAGGATGTCCCTGGACGTCAAGTCTCAGGCCCCCAAGACTGTGACAGCCAACGGTACAACGTCCACGGGGACCCAGGAGTGTGCTGGGTGCGGCAAACACATCACTGAAAGGTACACCACTACGTAAAACCATTGACTTTGGATACTGCCTGTAGACTTATTATCCAATTGTAAAATTTGAAGCAGTATGTTTTTCGTGTTCAAAATTTGAGCTTTGTACCGTTCTACAAAACACGGAAACGGTCCCAACAGTATTAAACTTACTAAATTGCGTTCCTATCCGCTGCCTGAGGTTTGAGGGGATGACTGCAGAGACCACCAGGACGGTGGGTTTGGAACACTGTTCGGTAGGGGTAGGTGGATGCTGCCCTTAGTGATGTCTGAAGCTACACACGGGTGAGCATCTTGTAAACCTCCTGTAAGCGCTTCTGCTTATACTTCCACATCGAACAAATATACAGACTGGACCGAGGATCTCCCACATTGGCCATTAACCAACTAAGGGATGTACCACGCTAGTGGAACCATACTGAAGAGGGTAGATGTCTATCGCAACAACCACGGCTGAATTCAGTCGAGAACGGATACATTTCTTGAGGACTTTTCCAACCAAACCCAACATACAGAGAGGCCCATAAGAGAAAGACAAGCTTGTCTCTCCCTTCCCCTTCCCCACGAGCACAAGCCTAGATATTTTCCAGTACACGAGAAGCATCCCCTCGGCCAAGTAGACATTGTATGTGATCAAAGGAACCAAGGGATTGTTAGATAAAGCCTTTTTGAGGACCTCACCTGGTTCCCAATCAGGTGTTGGAACCTTGTTGCTTTTCAAGAAGAGAATGGCCGTCTCCAACTCCCAAAGACTGAAGAGTGCGACGTCGTCCACCCTCCCGAACTCCCACAATGGGTGCAGTGGGAGAGGGCCAAGTCAAAGATAAGAAGAATACTTGGTCTTTGAGAAAGTTGGGAGCAAGAAGGATATCCCAACCCCTGTTAGTCGCCTCTTACGACAAGCCGGTGAAGGCTGCGTCCTATTCTAACCCGGGAAACCGCACGGGGATGACGGAAATGTTCATTACAACAAACTAACAGCTGAATTGATGAAGTGTGATGTATGACTACATTCGGGATATCAGGGGAAAATGCGGTGTATTTTTTCCAACCCACCTTAAAAATCCAAAACACAGACTTTAAATTGTTGAACTGAAAAACGTACCTATATTTCCTACAATAGTCATCTCGTGATAAATTCACTTCTTTATAGCTATTCACATTTTGCTATTCACCTTATTTATATACTTGAGTAGGCTTTAGTTCTACAACTGCGTATTGCATTCAGTTTATTGACAATATCCTTTTACAATCCTACCTTTCCTATTAGGAATTAAATACAAACCAATTGTTTCTCTATAGTAATATGTACACGGTGTACAACTTTTGTATTCGTCGCAGTTACCTGACGTTTTTCAATTTATTCATTGTGTTAAAATTGATTGGAGATGACCACAGCCACCTAGCCCAGCCCAGTACAAACTACAGAGTCGTGACACAGAAGGCTGAGCGTCGCGGCGCTGGCCAGGTCACGTGCCGATGTTTGCCGCGTTATTTACCACTTTTATCGCTTCTGGCGCGCTTGATATTTCGGTGTACATTGCACATTGTACACACATCGCCGTCGCTATCGTATATTCGGATGATGTAAAGCTATTTTATACCTTTGATTTTACTTTTGCACAGAATCGTTCCCGTTTTACTAAACGGTTTTGAGTTTACGTGTGGAAATTAAATCGCCATTGTGTACATAAATTCTCTGTGAAATCGCGAATGAGTTTCTATTGTACATGCGCTCTTTTTTTCTATTTTCTTAGTTGTACTGATTACAAAGCAGGCAAGTTTCCCATGATTTTGAAATGCTTGGAGGCTTGTTGTTTTCGATGTACAAAGAACAATGATACAAAAATTTCCGTTATTGTTTACATAATAAAACAATTTGAAACCTTAAAAAATTTGGATTTTTTACATTTTGTATACACTATGAACCTTTGGATAATCCCTACTACAACAGTTTAATTCCTTCGTCCTTCTTGGGTTTCCTTTCATTGATCGAGCAAAATCATTGACTTTTGGATGTTGCATGAGACATCCCATATATATGGACCAGCTTTAGTCAGTTACATTATTTAAAAAAAGCACTTATTATTCAACTTATTACTCGTTTGAGCTTATTATTTCAACAAACCACTAACAGAGTATGCTAAGTATACAATAATACTTTCCTCCTTATTTTATTATTGTGATAGTTTATGTGAGATCAAATATGCTAGAGCTTACGAAAAGCAAAACTGGTCGCATCTTTAACATTGGTAAGGAATGCCTAATGCCTATACTGTGTATTATGTAACATGTACCCTGACCCTCCGTCTACCTCCCAAGGTAGATGATAATAAATAACTTAGTCGTCAATGGTTGTCCAATGGGTCATTCTAGTCAATGGTTTCATGCCTGGGCCAGCTCCATCTAGCGGAGGCTTTGGAGACAGGTTCCAGCACACAGACTATAATATTGCTATGCATAGCCAAAGATACCTAATGGTTCCCTACTGTCCGCAGGTTCCTACTGAAGGCTCTAGACCTGTACTGGCACGAGGACTGTCTCAAGTGTGGTTGCTGCGACTGTAGGATGGGAGAGGTCGGATCAACTCTGTACATCAAAGATACCTAATGGTACCCTACTGTCCGCAGGTTCCTACTGAAGGCTCTAGACCTGTACTGGCACGAGGACTGTCTCAAGTGTGGCTGTTGCGACTGTAGGTTGGGAGAGGTCGGCTCAACTCTGTACACAAAAGCGAACCTGATCCTGTGCAAGAGGGACTACTTAAGGTAAACTTTCAATCTGCTTGGTTTTAGAAACTCGATTAATGATGGTATACCTGTGTATTTTTTGCGAATTTCTAAGTAGCAAAGTAGGACGGATGTGTATTTTGGTAATTGTTTTTGTACAAGGTTAAATTCTGTTCATAAACGGTTTAATTTTATTAATGCTTAGAGTTTTGACCCTAGGCTTCAAGAAAGGTATTGGAATCGGGACTTTTGCACCCTTTGAATTTGGGATGCAAAGTATAAAAACACTTAATCTTTTGCACTTTTAATTTTGGGTTTATGTTGTTTAACTACCAATTTGTAAAGTTTTGAAACATAATATAAATTTTATTTTCTTTATTTCCTTTACACGTTATACATTTAATGGACTTCAAACGTAAAACATAATTAAGTACCAAAATATTAAGTGTGCTGCTTTTTATGATACGCGTAGGTAAAGTCTTGAAAAGTTCAATCCCCCCCTCAGTCTCAAAACATCATAGGCTAAACACTATGCTATACATAAATGATCAACATTTCATATATATAATACAGTTTAATCCGCAACTATTCCCGAGGCAGTGGCACGCCACCATCAGCTGATTGACCCACGTGATGTTGGCAGAGCACGATCGCAAACACTAACTTGGTTTTAATTCTCGTTCGATATCGGTAATTGGTCGTCGCTACTTTAGTGAATTGGCTCGTCGTAATTAAGAGCTATTGGCTCGATATTTATCTGGGACGCTGCGATGTTTGCTCTGGCAAACTTACGATATTGATATAAAGATGGCGGTTCCCTCTCTAAACAGTGGGAGCCTTAGAGACAACAGTTGGCAATCCTGCTCGTGCAGAAGTTTGGCCAAGGTATTAGCGATGAGATGTTGTTATAAGGTTTGTTCGGTATTTACATTTTGTGAATTTTAGTTTTTTTTTCTTTGTGAGAAAAAGAATAGTTGTAATCGAGGAAATCAGAAGTACATGTTTTATTCGTCCGCTATTTTATGAAAGAAAATTGTCCCAATTGATTAAAATATTATTGCATCGTTATCAACATGTTTTTGGATATATTACCACATTGTATTTTTAATACAGTGACGTTTAATTTTGCCATCCATTAAAAATTAGACATAGCCAATATGACGAGTTTAAATTTAGTCTAGGTGGAGTAACACGTGTGTCTTCTAAATTACGGTAACATCTGTCTTTCATACGGATATCATTCTAGGAGCTACCTTATAAAGGGGAAAAATTTACTAAATTATAGTTTTTAGATTTAGTTAGCATAACAAATGGCTCAGTATGGCGAGAAATTTTGTTCTTTTTACGGGCCAGATGTGTCTTTTCAACCCTCACTCATTTTAAAGTATTATAATTATTAAATATCAGTTTCGTGTCAAAAGTAAGTAGTCACTTTAGGTCCTGGTGATGGGCGTCCATTGAGTCAGACAAACCGTTTAATCACTTGTACTTAAAAAAATAACTTATAAAAAGTCTTCGAACCGCTGCTATAGTTCTAGCTTACAATTGTAGATTTAAAAAGTAGGAAATTGTAAACAACAATTGATACATTGCAAACTACAATTTGTCATTTATTCTCAACAACAAACACTCAGAACTAAACGAAAATCATTTTTGAAGAAAATAAAAACATATGAAAAATTGAATGTCCTTTGACGTCGTTCTATTTTAATGATGATTTCTTGCAAATTTCTGGAGCCTTTCTTCTAGTATTTGGTGATCTATTTATAAGATAAATTGGCAGTATAAACTTGCTTAGCTTGCCGTTGAAAGTCTGCAGTGAACACACAATAGTTTAAATCGTATTTGCAGCTGAAGTTCTTCATCCATGAAGTTAATTATCCTGGAATATTTTAACTGGGTTTCAGCTTTTTGCCATACGATTTCTCGTGGCATATACACAATTAATTTATCAAACGTTTGTTCTGTCAGGTTGTTCGGCAGCACCGGCTACTGTGCTGCATGTTCAAAAGTGATCCCGGCCTTCGAGATGGTGATGCGGGCGCGCAACAACGTGTATCACCTTGAGTGTTTTGCCTGTCAACAATGTAATCACAGGTCAGTCAATTGTTACTACTCAGTTTTCAGTTTTATGTATGAAACAGAAAATGTTCAATGGGTGTATGGTTTAAAAATTGGTTGTAGATAGCTGGATGAGATCAATGAGTCTACTGACTGATGTAGTAAAGCATGTATTGATTAATCCAATAGACAGTTGTTATGAATAATTGATTATAACCGTTATATTCAGGATTAAGAAATGGACGATTTCAATTATGATTGATTATTAATTATTACTAGTGTCCCTGTTGCTCGAATTCGAGCAATTGTTAAGAATTACAGGCGCTATTTTAAAACGAATAACAGTCATAATTTCTTATGACTAAAAGATTTGATTAAAGATTATTGAAATACTGAAGATGTACATAACAGATCGATATGATCAATATTTCTTGTAAATACCTTATAATTTTTCAAAAGCTGATCTTGTTTTTAGTGTTTTCAACAAATAGACTTATTCATAGCCGCATTAGGTTGTCCATAATAACGATTATACATTCTAAAAAAACACATTTTTTTCTCTTTCTTCTCCTTGGTGGTGTTCTATGACTTTCCTATGTTTCCATAGTTTGCAAATCGGCTCTTTCAATGATTACTAAGAAATACAGCACAGTGTTAATTCAGTTTTCTTTTTAGTCTATCAATTTATCCAGGCTCTCTCGCTTTTTTCCATTGTAATATTTACGCTAAACCAAATTCAAATAGTAAATATTTCATTTAAACCAAGTCAGTAAATGTTTGTAGCAAACTGTTAAATTAGCAAACTTATTGACTGTTTACAATTAACATATGTTATTCTCCTCACTTTAAATTTCTGACAACAGCTGGAGTTTCATAACAATTTTTGTTTCCCATGTTAATCTTATGGATAAATAAGAAACTTTAAAGGGCCCTAGGGCCTCACTCTCTAAAGATTTCCCTAAAAAGAAGGTTTCCTGCACAATTTCACGTTACGCTCTTTCCAATGACACCAAAAACATGTCAATCGGTTCAGTAGTTTCGGAGGAGTAATTGTATAAAAAAACCTGCTTGCGTATTAAATAAGTATAGATTGATTGATTATTGATTATCAATTAATTACGATTGAACTCCGCAATGCGTGATGAGGTTCAAAGCTAGATGCCAAATATTATGAATCTCTTGGAGATTAGGAAACAGTTTCAGTGATTGTAAATTTAGTCACCATTGATTGATGTGGATAGTAAACTATTAACTCGTATTTTCAATGAAATTTTATATGTATTTCTCAATTGTGTAATTTTTTAGTACATATTCAATTATTTTACGTGTTGATATCCGAAATAATAGATAACAAATATATTCTCGTCCTCCTTAAAAATATCTGCTATTGCATTCCCAAACCTTTGGAAATCTATTGGGAAATACACAAAAATATGAAATGATAGATGGGAACCAACATAATTGAACTCTATGAAAAACATAAACATCACAAAGTTTAGTTAAAATATGTTAAAAATTATAAAATATCTAATTCATATCATCGTTGTATATTATGACTTACATATAGCTTCAATTTGGAAACACTTTATAATGTTTTTGAGTAGTTCTGTTAAAAAAAAACTTCTTTTGAAATTCGTGTAATATTAACTGACTGAACGCATGAATATTTAATGTAGGCTAGCTACTAATTATTGTCATATAATGGGCATTAAATAATTAACATTAGTATAATTTCCCGACATTTATACAATGTCTGTTTCATTGTTTTCTATTTCACCCCAGTCTTGGCTAGACAGCTGATAGTGCAGCAGCAGGCAGCAGGTACCGTAGCGGTGCGGGAGTTGCCGTTTTAATTGGCCCATGTTATTATACAGCTGGTATTCTTTATTGAAACAACAGAACACGGCTCCCGGTCAGCTGGGATTCGCAAAACATGCGTTTAATTAATGCAACAATGAGAAGAGCTATGATTAGTGTGCTATTGTGTACCTAGCTTGTCGAACGCCCAAATATTAATCCGCCAGCCCTATCTATTATTTTTAATTAAAACCGACCGATATTATTGCCGTTCTTTAATAAAACAATAAAATATTAAAGTGGACGGTGGTACGGGCTACAATTTAATTAAAACTAACGGCCGTTTGGCAATAATTAATCGAGTATTTTTGATTGGTAACTAGATTTTTCATTTCCCCCTTTAGTGAATTTCCCAATAGAGAAGTAGTGGTTTCTATAATAAGTTACCTTGTTTCTTTTAAACCCTAGGTCGAAGACCGCTGTATATTTTCGTTTAAAGGACACCGCAAGTCATAAAAACAGTTATCTTTAATTGCTATAGTATTTCCGGAAGAGAGATTGTTTATTTTAAAATCACAGATTTTTTTATATGATTTTGATAACTATACATTGAAATAACACACGTATGTGCCCAATCAGAATAAGACGAAACTCCGGTAAGAAAGAGTTTATACTCCAAAGATAAGATCTTCACTTAGTCCAATAATGTGCTATTAAAACGTCGAACTTTTTTGTTTAGCAAGTGAAAGTAATTTTAATGACCAACCATTTTGTTAATTTAATCAATTTGTAATCAAGGCCTATAAGTTAACGGTTTATCAAACCCACGTTATGAGCTAAATTATTTAAAACGTATATTTGTTCACTTTAATTCTAAGGGGTGTAAATCCTTTTACTCGACTGACCTTTTCTTGTTTATAGTTTTGATATTTTTTGTTCAATCCTAGTATTGGCTATATTCTCTTAATTCTGTTCAAAGTGATATAACTCAAACATTTTTCAAAAACTGAACAGTGATTACAGAAGTTTCAAAGAAACAGAATCAATGTTTTGAATCAATCACTATTAATTATTATTGGGTCGTTAACTCCAAAGTTGCAATCCTAAAACCACCAAACATGTTTGCACAACATGTAAACAATCGCAACAGAGCACCACACGCACCAGTGGTCTATCAATAAAGCAATGCCGATATTGTGAAAGTTGCAGCAGTAAACGAAGCCATAAAACGGCCAACAAAATCAACAGTTTATCCTGAACACTAAAGTCCGGAATTAAGACCCTTGGCACTAAATCACATTGTTTCAAAGTTCTCGCCGTCCGCGCAATAATATCGCTCTTTATTACTTTTCTTTCTCGGACGACATAAAGAGCCCTTGATAAAGAGTGGTAAAAGTGAGTGGAACTACCGTGCTAATGTTTTGATCGCTTGGGCCGTTCACATTGGGACTCGGATGGTAAAACGCTGATGGTGATTGGGTAATCAGCTAGTTTTGTTTCGTGATTGATTAAACAGGATTTAGGAACATAGAAGTAAGATATGATGTTAGAATTATACAGGTTTGAAGACGTATTATTTAAACTATTAAATTATATTAAGCATTTTTTTTAGATACTTTTTAATTTTCCTTTACCGAATAGATGGTTTTAAAATGGAGGGAGTACGTTTCTCATAATTTGGTTTAGAGGTAGGTGCTCACCTATCTCTAAACCAAATTATGAGAAAGCTTTTACAGACGAAGGTAATTTTTAACCACCAGGTGAGTTATTACTACAATCATACAATATATAAACAATTTGGTTATATATTTTGGTTAATTTTGGTTAATTTGGACTGCACCTAAAATTTAACTTACGGGACACCATTTTATTTCTGAATATTTCCTGATCAGATGTACAACATTAAAAATTTAAAACACTTTTGTCAGGATTGATAATTGTGTTTTGAAACCACAATGGTCTGAACTGTTATTTGCACACTTATTAAAAGAACAAAGTCAAAATACCTATACCTATTGCCTATCCCTGTACAACTTTTAAAATCTAGCTCGATACAGGATTTCTTATAATCATTTACATTTTGTCATGCTAATCACTATCAGAAAATAATATTCACATACAAGTTGTTCATTATATGTTGTGTTTTTCTTCACATCAAAACATTCTCTATATTAAATTGTATTGAATTAAAAAATGTGTGAAGCACAAAATAATCGTTTGAAAAACTTTGAGATTAAAGCACGCCAGGAGCAGACACAATTTGTATTGTTATATTTATGTATTCACATACTGCAGAAGTACGAAAAAATAATCTAAAGAACTCCAAAGTTGAAACACACAGTGATAAACGCTGTATTGTTGTGCTTGTGTATTGTTTTATTGATGTATTGTTGTATTGGTGTGAGTTATCAAATCGTCAACAGTCCTGACAGACGATTGTTCGACTTAATCCACAACAATACGAACGGCGCTATCAAGCCTTTATTTAATACAGGTTTGCTTTTTAATTGACACGTTTGAATGACGCGCTGATCGCCAGGAATCGCAAAGAATTTGTCTCCGATATTGTATCGCCGCACGTGACAGTTCTTTTGTGTCGTATCGTTTACGGATACGTTTTAATTAAAATTGTGACAGTCTGATCGGACATCGAAATAAAAGTGGAGTTTGTTTTGAAGATTTAATTTTTTCGTATTGAATCAGTAAATTATGACATGTGTCCTTTGGATGAATTTAGTGACGTTGATTGGTGGATGTTAAGTGTGTTTGGTTCATTTTTTATTTTCTTTATTTTGTTTATTGTATTCATATATATTTCTCTTATCTATTTCACGTATAGTATCTATTGAGTTTGTTACGTATATTACCTACATTTGTTAAATCATTTTTTTAAATTATTTATCATAGAATATCTTGTGCAAATTGTTGCTACAACGATTAGGATTTTAAGTTTTTAAAGATAATTAGGTAATAATTAGATGGTAAATGGGGTTTTTACCTACAAAATACAATGTATACGAAAAGTAATAAAACACAACAGTGATACGTAAAAATTACAAAATAATTACCTCGAAATCAAAATCGAACAAAATTTGTACAAAAAATACATAGTTTTGACTAAAAATATAACGCAACAAAATGATACCAAAAGCCAACCCACGGTTGTGATAATCTAGCTTTGGCGTCATAATGCCATGAATTAATTTAATGAATGACGTCACTTTAGATAATGAATGCCGTGTCATTAGCACAAATTGAATTGACCGTGGTCCGCGGCCCGGACATGTGATCGGGCGGTTTTTAAACGATTACACAAGCCTAATCCAGTAATGGTAGTTAACACAGTTCCAAATATTAAATGCAATAACAGTCCGCGTGCAAATGACGCTTAAACGTTGTTTTGTCCGGTCCGGCGATTTACTAAACTGTTTATTGATGTCAACAAACACTCCACAATTCGGTTTCGTTTGTTTTGTTCGTCAAAGAATCTTGTTTAAGCAGCGGTGCATTTCTCATTAACTAGTGGATTTGTTGACAGTTTACAGTAACGGTTGTTTGTAACGGTTGTTTTCAGTTATTTGGTTATAATTGGTTTAATAATGTTTCTGGTTTTGTAGATGTATGTGTTTGTAGATGTACACTAGGTAGTTGATTACCTGCAAATTTTATTTTAGTATTTATTTTAGAACCAGAA